TTTTTTTTCTTCGCCAATACTCATTGTACAACTTTTCCAATAACTACTTATCATTCATCCAAACTACCTTACTCCAAAGCTTGCAAAGATTAACGCGGGAAATTCAGGTGCATATTACCGATAATTCATTTTAAGCCCCCTTTTCTAAGCTAATAGCTAATACTTTTCCAATAACTACTTTCCGATGAAGCCTCCTAATTCGGGACGAAGATGCACAACAAAGAGTTAAAGAATTGTATTCAAGAACCATTCTTTTAATGTGAAATGTTTGTTAATTGAAGATTTGCCGAAAACCTATTTTATTTTTCAAAATTTTGCCTTCCTGCAAACCATTTTTATGATTCATAGCACAATAACAGATCAAATCACTTCCAGCCTTCACTGCAAAGGCCCTAAACTTTTGAGCTTAAAGAAGAAGTTGCGTTTCAAGCAGTTGAGACTACAGTGCAGGCGTCTCCATGTTTGAAAGGGGGCTTTGTGTTTTTTTTTGGTTTGCAAGCGGGTATCTGTTCTCATAAGGTCGGAAGACCCCATGCCGAAACCTGAATTTAATCAAGGTGATGAAAATTTTGTCGTTTGACGTCTCAAGCGAATAACATCACCTCTTTTGGTACACACGAGATAAGTACAACGCAAACGACTCACATGACAACAACGACTTCAAATGCACAAGATTTGAAGGAACTCAGTGAGGTTTGACAATTTAATTTCCAAGGCCATTACGCTGACATATAATTCTATTAGAATGGAGTTGATCTGAAGAACGTCTCAAAAGTGCTGAATGAAACATTGCCTTTCTCTGAGCAGCGATCCAATTTGAAATCAACCGAAATTCAGGAAATAACCACGATTTTGCAGAAATGTGCCAATCTAAATGGAATTCAACCTGTGGTAAGCATCGTTAGAAATCACCGAGTAATAATGAAATCAATCTGAAGAAATGCAAGTTATTGCCTTTTTTATAAGGATTCTCGAAAGGTATTGCTGAACATTGACTGTATCTTGTCGGCTGAAGCAGCCCAAATTGAGGCAAGCGGTAACAGCTCTCAAATGTAAGTGTTGTTGCAAAAATCTATAATTCTAGTGAATGTAGCGTAATGCTCAGTTGTAATTAGGCTTTTTTTCTGCCTAATCTGATAACACTGTTTATTTAGTCTCCTCGACTTACTCCCAAAATTAGTGCAGAATACAAATGGCAGCAAAATTGATTTTCTCGAAGGAGAAAACCTTGGATTCACATCGAGGGCTCTAGATTGCTCGACTTTGGAAAGTGTTCAACTTATTGATACGGGGAAAAATTTTGTGGTACCAAATGGTTCCGATGCTGTGAATGATGTGCGAAACTCCATTTCTATATTCATCGCTGATATATGCAGGAACAGTCCGGAAGGTGTTGGCAAGCCTCATTTACTGTGTTCAAAGATTGTTTGTACCAAGTATACTGTTCAGCATCGCATGCGTTCGCAACAATTTACCGCAGTCGCAAATTATTTTTTGGACCAGTGCAATACAATACCTACAGATCAACAAAAACTCTTGCTCAAAAAAGCGTATGGCAAAGCACTACTAGCGGGAGCGCTAATCTCATGATAGGTTTGTTTTGCAAAGATAAGGTTTTAAGATAGAAAGTGCTTGGAAGCTTTTAGAGCGCGATGAGGAGATACCTGCTCCGCCACCTTGTAGTAAGCAAATTGCCGTAGCAGACGAGTCGCCTGTAATGAGTGGAACTGTAATCGGCTACGAGAAGGTTGGTAGTCATTTTGCAATATTAATTA